AATGTTCTTCTCAGAGATGATGTGATCCTTCTCTTGAGAATATCGCTTGCTAAATCTCCCTTCAAATCCAAGTTCATGTAGAGTTTCTTTTTAGGCGCAATTAAAGTTTCGTTTCTCAGAATTCTTGGTTTGAAGACATTTGCTGAAGACATTTAACTGTTGCCATCCAGCAATAAAATTCACTCTTGAAATGGAAAACGAGTCAAAAATTCCATTTTTTGATGTGAAACTAACAAAAAGAGCTGATGGAAGCCTAAGAAGATCAATCCATAGAAAACCTACGTGGAATGGTCAACTAACAAGCTTCTATAGCTGGGTACCCATTCAACAAAAGCGAAATTTAATTAAATCACTTGCCACCCGAATCCCACGCATCTGTAGTCCCGACGTTCTGGAAACAGAATTAGATATTCTAAGAGAAATCTTCATCCAAAATGGATACCCAATAAGATTCATCGACAAAAATATCAAACCAAGAATTCTGAGAAACGAAACTTTAATTGCGCCTAAAAAGAAACTCTACATGAACTTGGATTTCAAGGGAGATTTAGCAAGCGATATTCTCAAGAGAAGGATCACATCATCTCTGAGAAGAACATTCTTGGCAGCAATGCCAAGGATAGTGTTCTCCAGTCGCCCACTGATCTGCAAAAGCCTCAAGGACAAGATCCTGCATCTGGCCACTTCTATGTGCATATATCAGTTCACCTGCTGCTGTGGAGCGAAGTACATCGGTCGTTCGATGAGAATCCTGTCCAAAAGGATTCAAGAACCCTATCCAGCATGGTTACGAAAAGGCAATAGTGGTGCAATAAGGAGTGCGATAATCGAACATTTGGTTAATACTGTTTGAAACAATCTCACTGTTATTATTATTATTACATTTACTATTCTCAATTCGCACTTCGAAAATTTTTGAATTTATATAGTAAATGTGGACAAATTCCTCTGGTTAATTTTGTTTTAATTCTTATTGTTATTTATATTTTGAGTAAATCAGATGCAATACTATGACTGATGCTGAGAATTCCATTCTGTATTATAAGTACTGCTATTGGAATTAAAAGTAGATTATTATAATTATTATTATTACTATTTAAAAATGAAGCTGCCAGTCTTCAGTCATCCTGATAGTTCCAATCTACGATAAGTGAGTACAGAGCTTCATGCTGTCTTTTTCATTTTATCTTTCATATCTTTTATTCTGTTGTTATAAGCATTAATGTTACCCCAACTCTTCTGACATAACATAATTTTTGAGACTTATTCTTTATTTTAACGCGACCACTAGCCAATGTCATCGAAGAGCATTTTTCCTCACTCCAGACAGAATGAACTCCACTCATCACAACTGCTCACTAGAACTCCAAGAAACTCCATCCAATAACCAGTCACCAACGTGCATAAAATTAATTTTCAAAAGTTGGCAGACGTTAGAATTTATGGACTGGCCACTGAGTTGCATTCCACGTGACTGAATGGCCCACAAACTTGCCTTGTAACTGTAAATTCCTGGGTTCGGTACCCGGTGGGTGCGTGCTACCGACGAGTCCAATATAAGGACGAAACGGCTGTCTGGTACCCCCTGGTTTTCAGTGGTTCACTAAGTGACATCACTTGGTGGTTAAACTTGAAGAAAAAATCAAATCCCTAAAAGTCAACTCATGAAGAGGTATTGAGTATTTCTACGTTAACTGCTGCTTCTATCCACGTCTTCATAGGATTCACATTATGACTCCATAAAAATTTTCAATGCTTCTTTCACATCTATAATGATTTTATTTACCATAGATGTTTGTGTGATACGTGACCCAGTTACTTTTTGATCCTATCATTGACATCTTGTTAACTTCAATAATGTATATATTCACCCTTTTTTTGTAATACAACGTATATTTTAACATCGTTACAACTATACGCAAATGAGAAGTAGCGAAGTGCCAAAACAAGCTCATACTATCCCGCTGTGATTGATAGTTTAACAAGCACACAGAGAGAGCTACTTCAAATGGATAGCCAGAATTAAATCGCTAAACTCTACACTAGCTAATCTCACTCAACTCAAATGAAGTTTAACACATGCTTAAGGCTAAAAATTGATTTTAAAAAACTTAGTGTACAATGAATTACACAAAAAACACCAGAGTCACATGTTCAAAGGCACAAACGAAAACGGGTTTTCTGCAGCTTAAAAAACTTTCATTCTTATCTAAATTTAAAGAAGGGTAAAATTATGAACCTCTAATTCTATCATAGCTGGTTACTACTTATAAGTAATCAATTCAGGCATCTAATGCATTTTGAAATGATCTCCAGCTGTGTCAAGCTGGGATGCAGTGAAATAAAGTAACACGAAAACACAAGCCATACATATATACCTGTCTTCACTTCTCATGCAACTGGTATAGCAAGTTAGTCACAAATTCCTTACTAGGCTATCGGAAAATTCAGGCTAGATCCACTCTCAGCACTCACCTACAGAAACAAATTTCATGCTGTGTTGTCCTAATGAAATTATTCATTGACGAAATCACCGTACATATAATGGCAGTCAATCTCTTCAAAAAACCGTTATGCGGCTTGTTAAATTCTGCATAGAAATACCTATCAACATGCAAACATGACAACATATATTTCTGCTGTTGGTCTAAACATACAAAAAATAGAAGTGTATATAGAAAGCCTACATCAACTGGTCAGTATAGTCATTTTTTCAGCTTCGTGCCCTTGAAATACAAACGCAATCTGATAAAGTGCTTGGTTCACACAGCAAGACAAATCTGCTCCGATGAATGTTTTGATGAGGAACTTAATAATATTAAACGGTTAATGAGTGAAAATGGTTATCCAGAAACGTTTACTGATTAGAATATGAATCTAAATTCAAAGCACCCCAAGATACCAACAGTTCCTAAAACGGAGGGCCTTATTCTTACAAATTCAGTTCCTCGGGAATAAACATCAGCGACATACTAACACAACGCCTTAGAAATGCGGTTAAAAGAGCATTCCCTGCTGCCTAATTTTGCCTCTTCCATGTGTATCTACCAATTGCACTGCTCCTGTGGAGTGAGCCAGTTACTTGCATAGGCTGTACAATTAGGTGTGTTTCTCGTCGGATTCCTGAACATCACCCTGCATAGTGGTTAGGTAGAGAACAAACAAAATCTATTCTCAGCGCTATTCTATCTCACCCATCTTGTGGATACACAACACAAGATTGATGTCAACGAGGTGGCTTTCAAAATCATTTACCGCACACCAACGAATCTCAATTTCGCCCTAAGAGATCGACTACTAAATATTGCTGAGGCTGGCTGTTAAGATCCATATTCAGAAGCCTAATTTGTGTGTCCAAAAGAAGTTAGTTCAGACACTGTCGTTACCTTGGTCATCTAGGTTTGAATGATCCTCAATTTTTGTGGAATTTTTCTAATTTTAGTTGGTATTCTATTTGCTATTTTATTATTATTATAACTTAAGCATCTTTATTGAACTGTAATTCCATTGATCTTACTTTACAAATCGATATTATGTGAAAATCACCAATATTGTTACTGGCATCTATTCTAGAATATTCTATGGATATAAACATATATACAATTGTAGAGCCAGAAGAGGAATTTATCGAAAAGGCTATTCTTTGCTCAATCTTTTTTGTTTTTTCATAAAATCGAATTTGACAAATCTATCTTTCTCACTATAAATTGAAGTGGAACTCATACGTATAAGGTTAAAGGAGGACCCTTGTATACAGTCAGTGTTATGAGCACAGTCGCCATGAGGTTTGAATTAATCACTTTGGTAACAACTCATCCATTCATCCAGTGTAACAGTGTAAACACACCCACACACACGCACACCCACATACATACATACATACATACATGCAATCACATACTTATATCACATTGTGTGCATGATAAGCAATTCATGATGAAACATTTTGTGATATAGTTGATGTGGAGCTGTTATATTTTAGGTAGGTTAGTGTGCCGTTAATAATGCTTTAGTTGTATATATATATATACCCCACTAAGTCTACCAAAGATACACTTTACAGTGTGAGGCATACATATACACGAGAAATTTGAATTACTTAATCAAGAAAAAAATACAAAAAGTTTACGCCATCACTTGACATATACAAATACAGACATTCTCAAAAAATCAATTACAGTGAGAGATGAGATGATTTAACATTCCAAGAGAGTTGAGAAGAGTCTTAAAAAATAACCGTTACAGTGTGTTTAAGTTTGATTCCGCTAATAATGACGCGTGAGTGTAGAGAGTGGATGATGAAAGAAGGTGAAATTAAAAGGTGGATGGCGGTGGGAGTCGAACTTGCTGCTAGTAAATGTCAGTTTGTCAATCTCTAAAGGCAACTTTGACGCTTATCAACTAATTATATGTAGATAATCAGATCAAAGAAAATTCTATTCTGATGGTGAAGTGTTTTGAACAAAAATATTTGAGAATTCGGTTATGGATATATATATATATATATATATATATATATATATATATATATATTCAAGTATTGGTTTTGTAGGGATTTTGTTTGATTGCATGGATGATTTCATCATGAGCTGAAATCAGTTAGAGAACCACTGGAAAACCTGGGAGTACTGGACAGCTGTTTCGTCCTAGTTTAGGACCCTTCAGCAGTACGCACCCACCACCAGGGTTCAAACCCAGGGCCTTCTGGTTACAAGGCGAGCTCGTAGACCATTGAGCCACTGGGACCCGATCCAATGGTCCTTGAATTCTAACTTCTGCCAATTCACTATATAGCGCGACCACTTCGCAATGTCTTCTTTGACGAGTTACTGCCTCATCTTCAACCTGCTGTACCCTTTATATATATATATATATATATATATATATATATATATATAAGGCATGCATATCTGTGGCATGGATTTTCTTTTCAACACAAATTAACCCAAAGTAAAATGAAGATCATCCCCCCCTCATAGACTTTCTTTAAACAAACTTACATTGTAATGCTAATCCGGCTAATTGCGTTGAAATCGATCTGGAGACTGGAAGGCGACCATCTAAAATATCTTTGCGTACTTGTAGGAAGAATTGATATCTAGAGGAATATAAGGAAAGGAAAAGAAATTTGATTAAAGAAAAATATTATTTTGGATGATTTTATCTTGAGTCGACATCAGTTAGAGAACCATTGGAAAACCAACCAGGAACACTGGACAGCTCTTTCGTCTGCCTAGTTTAGTACTCTTCAGCAGTACTCATCTAACATCGGGGTTCAAACCCAGCAGCTTCTGGTTACAAGCCACTGGGAGCCAATCCGATGTCCAGTGCATGAATTCTAACTTCTGCCAATTTATGACACAATGGGACCACTTCGTAATGTCCTCTTCGATAAGTTACTGCCTCACCTTCAATCTGCTGTACCCTACTAGTCACCGTCTCCCAATTACTTAAATAGTTTCGTAAAATTAAAATCAGAAGTGTTTGAATTTGTTCTAGTGGGAGCATACGGTGTTGAATCAGGTAAGAACCGATTGCCCAACAAATTTGTCAGTGGATTGGTCGTGAAATCACATACCAAGTTCGTGATAGGAAGGTGACGCGTTGGATGTTGGAAGGTGAAATGAAGATTACTTAAAGAAGGAATGAAATGAGACAGGTTAAAGGAGATGGTAGAGAATTCAGTGCAATAGAGATTTACCGCTGAAGCCTTATTTTCCTCCTGCAACGCAGAAACCGAATAACAGTGACCAGTGGGTGTATGAACGACAAGTATAAACAGTAGTTCTTTTTATTAAAAAATGCAAAGATATGAATACAGAAACAAACAGATACACATTTTAGAAATCATTTAACCAACTCCCTTGGATTTGCGTAAGATAGAATGCCTTATGACTTGTGGTCATTCTTTTTTATGCCAACATATTCAGTAAGCCGCATACCTACACGATCGCCATTTCATTGTTCAATGTCCCATAGTACATTTTCGCAGCATATCTTATCATATTGTTTGACTAAATAACGGCAGTAAACAAGTATGTGCGGCCCGTATTCACACCACGTCTGTCTGTCTGTCTCTTTTCGACATAGAACTTTGCGCCGATGTGCGTCAGTTCAGGTCACCACACTCCATGTAGCACACAAAGCAAGAGAAGAAAGTACAAGAAATGCATAATAGAGACAGTAAACAGAGGTGGGAGACAAAGAAATAGTGATAACGAAGAACAATTTAGTTTCATTGGAAATCATAAGTCACAAGGAGTGGATGCATTTGCGCCAGCCGTTGAGAACGATTTTGAGCCATATCACTAATTGTGTGCAACCATTGGTTTTTACCGTCCCGAGGATCCCAACAAGGAAGTCTACGCCTTCCTAGGTGGCTTAAACTAACTGTTGTGGATTTGATTGACCGGTGCTATGCTTTGGTTTGACAGCCGCTAGCTTTTTTCCAGCCTGACCCTATGTCAGCTAACATTGCCCTTCGATGAAGGCGATGACTAGACATACGTAACACATGTTCTAACCATCTCAGTCGATGTAATTTCACAGCCTCGTCGATTTAGAGAGGCGTTTACGAAGAACTTCTCCTTCAATGTCACCTTTGAATTCTAGATTGATCAGAAGTATTTTCTTTGGGACGGATTGGACTTGTTCGGAGGTCTTCTTTGATTTGAAGTTCTTGTCTATGAACCTAGGCGGAAAACCGTTTTCCATCAGAGTTCCTCGAAGATTACTCAGTTTTCCATCAATCACCTCCTCGCTGCATATCTTCCAATTCCTCGAGGAAACCTCGAGCTCAAACCCACGCTATATATCCAAAAGAAATACGTTCAACCCTTGTCCTTGCCATGGTCATCATAAATAGGTAATTCTTCTGATAGTGACTATCCCACAGCCTTTCTCAATCAAACTTCCTGTTTATTCATGCTATTTTTGAGTTTTTCTTAATCCCTATTTACACTACCATATTTTCATACCCATACTGGCTGTCTATTTTGTGATTTAATTGTTTCTGCATATTTAATCCCTGATTGCATAAACAGATATTCGTCACACTAGTTATGATCCCAGTAGATTTTTTTATCCCAGCATCCTATCTATTGTTGTTATTTCTACATTTCTAACCCCTAATTGCACAATATGTCAATCTTCTCAGTAATTATGATGCTACTTTGTCAGAGCTTTATTCTTCCTCCTATTTATTATTATGGCATTTTAATTCCTAACTGTAATTCAAGCATTACTTCATTGATTGGTTACAGAATTTCATCATGAGCTGACATCAGTTAGCGAATCATCGGAAAATCTAGGAAAACTGGACAGCTGTTTCGCCAGCCTAGCGTGGGATTCTTCAACAGTACCCACCCACTGCCAGGATTCGAACCCAGATAGGCAGTTACCTGGGAATCTAGTGGGAAGTTATGACCAGTGGGGTACAGCAGTTCGGTTGTGAGGAGAAAGAATCTCCACGAATGACATTGGCTAGCGATCGAGCGATGTCGTGAATTGGCAAAGGTTTGGAATTCATGGACTGGCCATTGGATCTCGAAGGTCTCAGTGGCTCAATGGTCTACGAGCCAGCCTAGGGATAAGAGGGTCCTGGGTTCGAACACTGGTAATGGGTGCTTACTGTCGAAGAGTCCAAAACTAGGACGGATGAAATAGCTGTCTGGCAGTACTCCCTGTTGGTTTTCCAATGGTTCTCTAAATGATGTCAGTTTTTACAACCTACTAATGTTGACATACAGAGTATACATATACCCAGATATTTCATCAAACATTGAGTTTCTACATCACACAAAGTCTGTTTTTCTTCAAAAGAACTAATAATTAATCCATGCCAAATACTTAAAAAATTAAACAGAAAAAATTATAATAATAATGATACAAAAGGATAGAAAAAAACAATCGATCGATAAAGCTTTAGTGAAAACTCAAGTCTAAGAGAATATAAAATACAGCCTGACTATAACACAGTCACAGAAAAGGTCATTCCCGTATTAAATGAATCAGTATTACCATATTTAACTGTGATACTTCTTGGTCAGAGATACATGTGAACAGCGATGATATAAGCATAATTTATTCCTCCTACATTAAAATGGAAGTAGTCTTTTGTATATCGAAGATTTTATCTTGTTTATGATGAAAGGTATTGTGCGGTATTATCTACGTTATATTTCTTAACTAATTAATATACACTCTCTGCGTGTGTGTGTGTGTACTTCATATCGCTGGCTAGTTAGTTAGCTGGTTAGCTAGACAGTTAATATTGATATATAATGACATGACTCATTCATATAGTCTCTTCAAAAGGCTTCGGAATATATATATATTATGTGCACCTTATCTTCAAAGCACCACTTGCACAGATCTTCTATGTTGTGCTATTTTCTGTCCTTCACGTTGTAATCCTTTCATGCGTCTCTCATGCATCTCCACAACGCTGTATCATTTACTTTCTCTGACATCAAATTTATCACCCTGCTATTTGATGGTTCATGTCAATGAACGTCTCTTTAAGTGTTGGTTTGTAGGGATTTGATTAGTTACAGGATTTCATCATGAGCTCACATTAGTTAGAGAACCATTGGAAAACCTGAGAGTACTGGACAGCTGTTTCGTCTTAGTTTTGGACTCTTCAGCAGTACGCACCCACCAGAATTCGGGTGTCAGGGCAAATACTCGCCGAGGACATTCGCTAGGGGTCGTGCTATGTTGTGATTAGGTAGGAGTTAGAATTCATGGGACATTGGATCGGGTCCCAGTGGCTTAATGGCATATGAGCTCGCCTTGTAACCAGAGGGTCCTGGGTTCGAACCCCGGTGGGTGTGTACTGCTGAAGAGTCCCAAACTAGGACGGAGGAAACAGATGTCCAGTACTTCCAGGTTTTCCAATGGTTCTCTAACTGATGTCAGATCATGATGAAATCCTGAACGTCTCTTTACTTACATACTACTGATAAATATTATCAGTAAAAGAAAAGCATTGTTATTCTTTATAATGACCCAGAAACTCTGAAATCTCAAAATAATAAAACTGACCACCTATTGTTATCAGTTAGAAAAGCATTGGAAACCAAAGAGTACTGAGGGGGTGTTTCTTCCCTAGTTTTCGACTGATCAGCAGTACGTGCATGGCCAATGGGTTCGAACCCAGGACGTTCTGGTCACAAGCCAAGCTCGAAGATCATTCAAACACTGGGCTCCGACCAATCTACGAATTCTAACTTCTACCAATTTATGACTTTAGCGCAACCATCAGCCAAATGCCATTGGCGAGTGTTTTTCCTCACCACTGAACGGATGGACCCCACCGGCCATGACTTTCAACTAGAACTCCAAGTAACTTTGTCCAGTACTCCCCGGTTTTCAATAACTCTCTGACGGATATCAATACATTGTCAAACTTGAAAAAATAAATCAAATCCCTACAAACCAACTAATCTCTTGAAAATTGATAATTGTCATCACAGGAAAATTTAGAGGGGTTTCATCTCTTCTACATGGTTTGTATGAAGAAAAGAAGTAAACCCTAGGCGAAACCCTTGATAAGCGTGGTATTTCAGTGGCATTTAAACCCACAAAAAAATCACCTGGAGGCAAAATCACCTGAAAGCTTAATAATTCAATCAATATGACTAAACAAAATAATTTGACTTAACAAATGCCATTTATAAAACACGGAATAATTGAGCAAAGAATATTCTTTTCGATAAATTTCCATTCTGGCTCTACAGTCATACATATATGTTTATATACATAGAATATTCTAGATAAGTAGTTGTTATGTACTCGTCGCTGAATTATTGTTATGGACTGGTCGAGAAACTAATAGTCCTGACGCGAGAAGGCGGAAATCAGAAGACCACTAGGTTTGCGATGATACTTCTATTGTCCAAACACAAGGAGACGAAAATAAATGGTCTCACACCAAAGTGGTAAGCAAGTCAAGTAGTTGTAAAGTAAAGTAGTTCACACAAATTGTGAATGCGAATATATATAAATAATTCAGACAAGCGTGGGAAAAATCATTAGACAGTCTTAACATGAATGGCTAATTATAATGGAGTGTCGATCCAATTATACATAGCGAAT